AGTCAAAGAGATTAATGAGGCATTCAATAAAACCAGCCTGGTGAGTTCAAGGGCTTCTGCGCATAGCTGGAGGCTCATTAGGTGGACTAAACCCCCACATGGGTGGGTCAAGATAAACATAGATGGATGTTACAATCCCACCACCAAACAGGCTGGGTGTGGAGGTCTAATCAGGGACGATCAAGGTAGCTGGATCAAAGGGTTCACCTATACAGTTGGGGCTGGTTTGATCGACGTTGCTGAAGCCTGGGCACTGCTGAAAGGTATACAGTTAGCTTCATCCCTCAGTCTAAAATAGGTTTGGTTTGAGAGTGACTCCATGAGTATTATGAAGGCCATTAACCAGGATGGGATAGTTGACGCGGATGCAAACAATATCATCCATGCATGCAAACATGAACTCAAAAACATCACGAACTGGGTAGTTGCGCATGGACCAAGAGAGCAGAACATTGCTGCTGATCATTTGGCCAAATCATCTAGAGCTACAACAGGCTTAAGAATCATAAACACAGCCACAGAGGAGCTCGCCCATATAATTGAAGAGGATAGATTTGGTGTACCCATTTGGCGTCAAGTTGACAGTTCCTTCTTGTAATATCATGGGTTTCCCCCTTCCATTTATTCCAAAAAAAATTATTTATTATAATAATCGATTATGTATCGCGGTGCACGATATAACGACTGGTGTTAATACATGTTGAAGATTATTGATGATGGTTATGGTTTGATGATGAAGAGATTATGGATTAATGATGGTTTAATGATGATTATTATGGTGTTGATTGGTTATTAATGATGGTGATTATGCTATGATATTATTATTTAATGATGATGATGAAGTTATAATTGGGGATAATGAAGTTACATGATAATGCTATGATTATGGTTAATGATTGGCTAATGACAAAGCTTGATTATGATTAAGGGAATAAGAGCTAATGATGGTATTAAGATTTAATGATGATGACTTATTATTGATGATGATGATGATTATGGGATTTATGGGTAATATGGATTCATTATGGATGTGGTTAAGATTAATGATACTTATGATTTAATGATCATCCTTAACCAAAAGTCAAGGGTTCGATCATTGACTTTGGGAATGGAGCAGCCTTAAATCTCCAGGTCAGCTATCTCACTCAAAAGAGGTGCCTACAATTTAGCGAGGGGATTAGTCACAATTTTCGATGGTAGAAACTCTGGGTATACCCAAAAATGGATACTTATGATGATTGGTTGATAATGATATCATGGACTAATTATGGATTATGAATGTTAATACTCCCGTCGTCCCGAATCGGTTGTCTCATTTGCTTTTTGCACGCTTTTTAAGGAATTAAAGTAAATGCTTTGTGTTTTCCAATTATGCCTCACTTTTTTCACTTTTGGAAACAAAGCAAAAGTCATAAGGGTAAATTGGAAAAAGTAGAATGATGGTGATGTTCAATTTTGGAAAGATGACAACATTTTGGGACAAACTAAAAAGGAAAGTAAGACAGGTAAAATGGGACGGATGGAGTAATAATTATGGACTATAATGATTGATTAATTGTAATGGAATTATTGTACATTTATTTCTGAAGTAATTATTATTATGGTATTAAATGATGAGATTTGTTGTTGAAAGGGGAAGATGTTGGAAGGATTATGATGATTTAATAATGATAGCGTTATTTCTGAAAAGGAAGCTAGAATTTTATTAAATCAAATGCTCAATACAAGTAGGAATAGAAAAAAATCAAATAGAGGAACCAGTTTGAGAACGAGCAACCCTAGCAAGAACATGGGCAAACTTATTCACTGATCTAGAAATGAAACTAACTGACATTACTTCGAAGTGTCTTCGAAAATCATTGCATTCATTAATAACATAGCCGGCATATGATAAATTCACTGATGATCCATTAAAAAGATTGCACAACGTCTGACAATCAGAAAGCACCATAATCCGCGTACATCCTTTATCCTTGGCCCAAGACAAAGCTTCATTCACCGACATGGCTTTTGCAAGATGCACATTATTTAAACAACGAAACGATCCATCTTTTGCTGCCACATAAACACCATCCCCATATCTCTGATTACAATACCAAAGTAAGCTTCTTCAAATTTAGGATATAACACCGCATCCACATAAAACTTCAACAAGCCTTCAGAGATATTAGAGGTACTAACCGATAGAACATGAGTAGGAGTAATTGCATCAGAAGCCACCTCATTATGCATGATGTGCCATGCAATAGCAAAATGCAAAGCTTCAACCTGAGAAGGAGACCACACCCTCGGTGGCATAAACAATTTGTAGTATAACACTAGCACTTTCAAATATTTTCGTGTCCTTCGGTACTGTCTGGCCATATGTGTATTAGTAGTCGTGCGCACACTGAATTCCATGAAATTATTGGACGTATCAAAAATACCCACTGTAATCACTTTTCTTCAAAGCGTGCATGCTGCTGCTTTCCATAAGTGCCTGTGTACACTATGCAACAAGTAATACTTATAATAATACTAAGAAAAATAATAATAATAATAATAATAATAACCAAAATAATAATACTAATAATAACAGTAGTTAGAATAAGAAGCTTAATTTGTGTATACAATACAACCATTGATGCATAATATATGTATATAAAATGGAAATCTAGACCATACAGTCTTAAATGAATAAACAAATATTATTATTATTATATTATATGGGTTGGATCCTATGAGACCACCTTTGAAATTAATGGTTGAGATTGAATTAAAAATCTGATTTATATAAGGATATAATTAATACATATATAAGGGTGGCATTGTAATTTCATTTTGTTATTTGAATTTGGTTATAAATGAAATAGAATATTTTCTTAATTTAAACGGATCATATCCATAGTAGAATAAATTCTAGATTTTTAATTTTAAGTTTTTTTTTTTTTTTTTTTTTTTTTAAAACACTAGCGGTACATAGAAGAGTCTGCTACTGCTATCGGCTAGAGTGCACCCATGGATGAAGACCTCGCCTGTAAGTCACGCTCAATTTTTTTTTTTTAATTGTGATGCGTCGGCGTGTACCATTAGGCATGTGCAAAATGTTGTGTGTAACTGTTTCTTATGTGAGATCCTTTTTGCCGCGGGTGCGACCGTACTGGGTGGTGTGTGCAACTGTGTTTGGTCGCACTAACACAATTCTATGTTTGTTTTTAATTTTCCAAAACAATAAATTGAGTTGTAGGTGTGGTTAGAAAATCTACAAGTATAGTGGGATCAAAATATATGTGCATGAGTATTCCCCGAATGTCACTACACTATACATACCCCATTGCAACTCGAGGTTGAGTTCTTCACAAGATTGGTAGAATGATATGGGCAAAATGAAAAAAAGTGAAATTGAGATTCAGTTAGATTATTTTCATCTTGTGATATATAAATAATATTATAGTGTTAAACAAAATCAATATTCAATTTCCTAAACTTCTAAAAGCCTCACCATTTAAGAAAGATGTACAATGCATGTCTAGTCATGTTTTCTTGTCATTTTTTAATAAAGACGCATCCTTTCATGGGATTAACCAATCTACTCAGACTATGTTTGGTATAGTTTAACTTATAGCTTATTTTAAATTACAAATAAACAATAACCCCTGTTTGGTAAAACACGATGATGAAGCACTCACCAAATGCAGCGAATACTCACCAAATGCAGACAACTACTGATCAACTAAGCTTAGGGACTTTTCTGTCTTTTCCTAATCTTAGTTAGTTATAACCGTTCTTGTTTTCTATAAGAGTAGCTACTCCTTCTCCATTGTATTCTTGATACTGATTTTACACACCATACTTTTCAATACACAAGTCAGTTTCTGTTTTCTCTTCAACATGAGCCTTCATGTTCTCGTAGCTTGATCTGAGAAGATCCATCATGGTATCAGAGCTTCATAGAAGCTACGCCGCTATCGCCATGGCCGAAAACACAACCGGAAATGGAGATTGAGTCGAGCATGCAGCAGCTTCATCGAATCAGAGTTCGATGAACCAGCGCACTGATGAGTTCGACAATCCTTTCTACCTGCACGTTATAGAGAATCCTAACTTGATTCTCATTTCACCATTATTGACTAAAATCAACTATGCCTCTTGGAGCAGAGCAATGAGGATAGTGTTGGAGGTCAAAAACAAGTTCGAATTTGTTAATGGAGTCATTCCAAGCCCAACTAAGGCTGATCCGAAATATGCAGAATGGAGAAGGTATAACCGCATCGTATGTTCATGGATTTTGAGATCTGTCAGCCATACCATCGTAGGGAGTGTTATGTATTTCAACAAAGCCTCAGAAATCTGGAATGCTCTCAGCAAAACGTATTCACAGTCCGATCCTCATAAGATATCAGAAATACAGAATGTAATTTAAAAAATGTTCAAGGCAATATGTCTGTTAATGAGGATGAGAAGAGAATTTCAAAATCAATTACTGAGAATAACAGTTACAATACTAAAAGGATCAGATAACGTAACCTGCTCCTATCTAATAGCCTAGTCTAAGTCAAACAGACTAGCACTACATAAAATAATAAACCTATTACAATAGAAATAACATAATGAATAAATAATATTACTAACACACCCCCTCAAGCTCCAGGTGGGTGTGAGACTACATTGAGCTTGCCTTGGAGAGCAGCAAAGCGCGGGCCTGGTAGCGGTTTGGTGAGGATATCTGCCAGTTGATCTTTAGTGGATACAAAGTTGACAATAAACTCCCCGGAGGCGACTTTGTCCCGTACAAAGTGGCAGTCGATCTCAACATGCTTCGTCCTGGCGTGGAAGACGGGGTTGGCGTAGAGATATGTAGCACCCAAATTGTCACACCATAAAGTAGACGATTGTTCGGAGTGTAACCCAAGTTCACGGAGCAGGGACACAACCCAAGTGACCTCAGCTGCGACATTGGCTAAGGCTTTGTATTCAGCTTCAGTGGAAGAACGAGCCATGGTGCGTTGCTTCCGTGAGAGCTAAGAGATGAGGTTGTCGCCTAAGAAAACAGCATACCCACTAGTGCTCTTCCTGTCTACCAGGCAACCAGCCCAGACGAAATCCGAGAAGGCATGAATAGCCGTGGACGCAGAAAAGGAGATACGCAACCCATAGTCCAAAGTCCCTTTAGTATACCGCAGGACCCGCTTGACAATAACCCAATGCTCATCCGTGGGCGAGTGCATGAACTGACAGAGATGGTTGATAGCGTTTGACAGGTCAGGACGTGTGATAGTCAGGTACTGCATGGCCCCAACGATACGGTGATACTGAGTTGGGTTTTCATGTGGTTGTGATGACGGACTTACGACCTGGGACACAGCAGCTGGGGTTGTAAGAGGCTTGCAATCTATCATCCCAGCCCGGTTGAGAATGTCACCCATGTACCGTCTCTGCGATAGGAGTAGGCCACCGTATTCCCGTAGTGTTTCTATACCAAGAAAGAAACTTGGCGTCCCGAGGTACCGAATCTTGAATGCTACAGAAAGACGTTTGAGCATGACGTCAAGAAGCGCATAATCATTGCCCATCATAATAATGTCATCGACGTGGACAAGGAAGAAGACCCGAGATGTTCCCATTGTGTAGTGGAATAGAGAGACGTTAGTTTTGGATGGTAGAAAACCTGCAGAAACCAAGAAATCTTGTAGTCTCTTGAACCAAGCCCGAGGGGCCTGTTTGAGACCATACAGAGAACGCTGAAGATGACACACATAGTCAGGATGGGCTGGGTCCTCATACCCTGGTAGCTATTTCATGTACACAGTTTCAGTGAGATGGCCGTTTAAAAAGGCGTTGTGTACGTCTAACTGCCCTAGTGCCCAGTCTTTGGACACAACAAGAGAGAAAAGGAGTCAGACCGTGGTCGGCTTGACGATCGGGCTGAAGGTGTCAAAGAAATCTTCCTCGGCGACTTGGTTGAAACCTTTCTCCACAAGCCATGCTTTGTAGCGCTCAACTGACCCATCTGCAGTGTGTTTGGTGCGGTATACCCATTTGCACCCACTCACATTCATTGTAGGTTGGGGCGGTATTAGCTACCAAGTGCTGTTATGCAGCAATGCATTGAACTCTTGGTCCATGGCGTCGCGCCACTGGTGGAGGCCCACAACTTGCGAGTAACATGTCGAGTCAGTATCGGCAGTTAAGGCCTGAAATTGCTCATTTGTGCCCTGAGTCATGTGATGTAGGCGCATCACATGCCCATGGTCTTGAGGCACTGGCTTGCGTGGACCTCGTTTCTTAGCCCTTACGGTCTGTGTGAGACCCTCAATGGCCAGCGGTGCGGGTTCTTAAAGTTGCAGAGTGGGCCCCGGCGAGGGCGGAACAGGTACGAGAGGCAGGCCCGGATGTGTCACAACTGACCTGGATGCCCAAGGCATAGACTGACCAGTCTGTTGTGGTTTGTCCTGCATTGTTGAGTCTGAAAAAGGGAAAATAGACTCGTCAAATCGGACATGGCGACAAATATAAATTTTTCCACTTGTTAAGTCCAGACATCTATAACCCCTATAAGACGGTGGGTAACCTAGGAAGACATACGGGGTTGAGCGATACTCTATCTTGTGCCTATTGTAAGGGAGCAGATATGGGTAACACTGACACCTGAAGACTCGAAAGAAATTGTAAGGTGGAGGTGTTTTATACAGGCGGTAATATGGACTTTGAAACTGTAATGCTGAAGAAGGCAGGTAGTTTATAAGGGTTGTAGCTGTTTCGAAGGCATAATCCCAATATTCAAGGGGTACTGAGCCTTCGGCAAGGAGAGCGAGGCTGGTTTCGATTATGTGCACGTTCTGATGCTCAACCCTGCCGTTTTGTTCATGGGTGTAGGCGCAGGATTTTCTGTAGTTAATGCCAAGAGTTTGGAATATTTTATGTAGTTCTTGATATTCACCCCCCAGGTCGGACTGGATTGATTTGATAGAACGCTCAAATTGGCGTTCTACCGCGACCCGAAACAACTCAAAAGCTTTATAAATATCTGATTTCACCCGTAAGGGATAAAATCAGCAGAAACGAGTACAATCATCTACGAATAAAAGAAAATATCGAAAACCACTACTAGAAAGGAACGGAGCCGGACCCCAGATGTCTGTATACAACAAGTCCAGTACATTTTCACTAGATTTTAACACCCTATCTAAAGGAAAATGGGAGGCTTTCCCGAGATGACATGCGGTGCACGAACTCGTGGACTTGGACTTATTTCGATCAACCGGACAGAATTGCAACACTTTATTCAGAACTTGACTGTGAGGATGGCCCAATCTGCGATGCCACATCACGGGAGTGGTACGGGAAGTAATGAAAGCAAAATGAGACTACGGTAGCGGGAGCTTATACAAACCGCCAGAAGTGGGTCCTTTAAGTAGAATTGCCCGAGTTATTGAATCCTTCAAAACGAAACAATTTTTATGAAATTCAAAGAAAAAATCATTTTCGTTAGTAAATTTTTGAACAGATAACACCGGGACCGACAAATTTGGCACATGTAACACATTTGACATACGTAACAATTTAGACTTAGAAGGAATAGACGTGGACCCAACATGCGAAATATTTAAACCCGTACCATTACCGAATCGAAGTACGTCCCCACCATTGTAGTCCACGGATTGTGTCATCATGGAGGCGTCCGGCGTAGCATGAGCCGACGCCCCCGTATCCGGGAACCATGCGCTGGCCGACACCACCTCATCGCCGGAGACCACAACATTCGCCGAGTGCCGTTCATGGGTGGCTGCTTGGTGTACCTTTTATAACAATAGACCGCTGAGTGGCCGTTCGCCCGGCAGATTTGACACCGGAGCTGTCCGCCACCACGTCCGCCACGGCCTCGTCCGCCCCGATTTCCACGACCACGGCCCTGGTTGTTGGAGCCGTGTCGACCACCGGACGAGCCATCACTGGACTGGTTTCTGCCGCGGCCTGCATACATCGCTGTTGGAGGACCGCCGGTAGTGCCGCCACCAATCGCCGTCGGCAGTTCATCAGAGTAGATGAACTCCTGCGCCTGTAGAAAGTCAGCAAGTTGGGGAAGAGAGACCGGCTTACCATTTACTGTAAGAGAGGCCGCCATGGATCTAAACTCCGGTCGGAGCCCTCTTAAGACCCACAAATTCTGCTCATCGAGCGATAGTGGACGGCCGGCGAGCGCTAAAGCTTCGATGAGGAGCTGCGCTTGGCCGATGTAGTCCGTCGATGAGGAGTTGCCTTGCCGCGGCAACTGGAACTACCAAAGGAGATTGAGGCAGCGAGCGCGCGTGCTAGACCCCAAGGCGGCGGTGATGGAGTCCCAGACCTCCTTTGCCGTGTTCCGGCCGACCGCAAGGTGTAACACCTCGTCGGCTATGGAGGAGACGAGGAGCGACAGGATGGATTGGTCCTGCTTCACCCACAACCTGTACGCCGAATTCGGGACTTGACCGGTGGTAGCCACGCCGGATGCAGATTCGTCGGGAGGGGAGGAGGCGAAGGTCGGCGGTGGACATTCAATCTCGCCGTCGACGTACCCGAGTAACTCTTGACCCTTAAGGAACGGGACGAGTTGTGTATGCCAAAAGAGGTAATTCCTAGAGGTTAATTTAATCGACACAAAGTGGTATGCCGAGGAGAGGGGATTGGAAGTGGTGGCCGGCAGTGGGGCAGTGGTGGTGATAGTTCTTTCAGAAGAGTTGGTCAACATTTTTGGGTGGAGGAGAAAAAACTGGAGGATCTAACCTAAAGCTGAACTGATACCCAAATGAGAAGGGAATTTCAAAATCAATTACTGAGAATAACAGTTACAATACTAAAAGGATCAGATAACGTAAGCTGCTCCTATCTAATAGCCTAGTCTAAGTTAAACAGACTACTTAAAATAATAAACCTATTACAATAGAAATAACATAATGAATAAATAACATTACTAACAATGAGTACTTCACTAAGAGTAATGCATTATGGAAACAGCTGAATGCTTTAAGGCTTTTACTTTTATGTGAGTGTGTGCCTAGATGCTCTTGTACTCTTATGGAAAGGATGCAAAAGGAAAGGGAAGATGATCACATAATCAGATTTTTAGAATGATTGAATGATGATTATGAGACCATAAAGTCTGGAGTTCTGGTCATGGATCCCATTCTAGATATGGAAAAAGTCCTCAATATGACTCTGAATGTGGAAAGGAAGATCAGAGGGGCAATTAAACAGAAAGCCAGTGACCTCATTCAAGCTAATGCCATTCAGAATAGCCAAGTCTAGAATGCAGAAGAACAAGCTGTTGTGGCTGTTTCAACTTCTAATAATAAAAAGATGTTCAACACCAATGGAGGAAAGAACATACCTAAATGTACCTTCTGTGGCATGCTTGGTCACACCATTGAAAGATGTTACAAAAAGCATGGTTATCCACCTGGTTGGGTTGCAGGCTACAAATCCAAAAATAAGCAGACTCAAGACATGCAGCAGCTCCCAAACACCTCTGTGAATCAGGTTGGAGACATAGGATTGTCTACTGATCAAAGACAATTTCAAAGACTGTTATCTTTCTTGTAGAGTCAAAGCAAGGGAAATCAAGCCTCAACTAGTGCTGCTGTGACATTTACCACCTCTGGAATCAAGCCAGATTTCAGAGACTCTGTAGAGGACCATAATGAAGGTAACCTTTATATCAGTGCTGTTTTAAATTCACCTGCTATGTGGATAATAGATTTAGGTGCCACAGACCATATTACATGCTCTCTGGAATACTTTGAAATCAGTCACAAAGTCTGTGGAATTTTTGTCAAATTGCCAAATGGAGAAACAACAAATGTCACACATATAGGACAAATCAGGCTTGATAAGAATATACTACTCCAAAATGTGTTGTATATTCCATCATTTTCTTTCAATATTGTGTCTGTCAGTAAGTTGACAAAACAATCAGGTTACAAAATCATTATGGGAGCTGATCATTGCACTATTCAGGGCCCTCTTGGAACAGTGGATGGTTTTGCTAAGGAAAGGGAGGGGCTCTACTTGATAACTAACCCTCCTATCAAGAAGAAAAATCAGCATGCTGATGAAGTCTTCCTTAGCATTCAATGTAATGGTTTGACAGTTGAACTAGGGCATAACAGATTAGGGCACTATCTTGTTATTAAGATTCTATCTTTGAATGGAATAAAAATTGTTTCCCCTTTAAAACACTCTGAATTTGTGTGTGATGCCTGCCATTTTGCCAAGTACAAAAGGTCTGTTTTTCCTGTTAGCACTTCTAGAGCTGAGAGATGTTTTGATTTGTTACACATGGATGTATGGGGTCCCTTTGCTGTTGCATCCCTTAAAGGGGAACACTACTTCTTAACTATTATTGATGATTTTAGTAGGTTTACTTGGCTGCACTTAATGAGGAACAAGTCAGAAGTCAAAACTGTGTTCCAAAGCTTTTACAACTATGTATGCACACAATTTTCTGCTAAGATCAAGACAATTAGAACATATAATGGAAATGAGTTTATGATGACTACCTTTCTCAATGAAAAAAGAATTGTCCATCAAAAGTCTTGTGTATACACACCCCAGCAGAATAGAGTAGCAGATAGGAAACATCAACACATATTGAATATAGCTAGAGCCTTGAGTTTTCAGTCTGGATTACCTACAGAATTTTGGGGCCACTGTGTGATGCATGCATCATATCTCATTAATAGACTGCCAACTGAGGCAATTGATGGAAAGACTCCTTTTGAGCTGTTCTGGTAAAAGAATGAACTATGATCAGCTTAGATCTTTTGGTTGCCTGTGCTTTGGTGCCATTATCTCACAAGGGAGAAACAAAATGCAACTAAGGGCAAGAAAGTGTATTTTTTTTTTTGGGATTTCCAGCCAGTGTAAAGGGCTACATTCTATATGATCTAGTTGATATAGCTATTTTTGTCTCTAGGGATGTCAGGTTCCATGAACATGTCTATCCTTTCAAAGAACTGAATTCAGAAGTCAGTCTAGAGCCTACCATAACTGAGATGTTTAATCCTCCATTGCCCTTGGT